TATGAGAGTGCCGACGGTAGGCCCCCATCGGCGTTCTGGAGGCGTCGCGTCGACGCGATGCGGGGCTCGGGGCTTCGTGGTCCTCTGCGCACTGGCGCGGGGGGTTGAGAGCAGTGGTGTGGTACGTAGGGTTTGCGCGGCACCCCGTCTGCGCGGCGCCATCATGAGAACATCCAGTTCGCGGCATGATTGCCCAGACATCGGCCCTTCAGCAGGAACAATGATGATAGTGTTTGTCATTGGCGCGTTCATCGCACTTCGCTTTCGCTGACTGGTGTAGTCGACCGTTTCTCCATGCATGCTCGTATTCCTGATACACTTGTTCGCCCAGCTGTTGCACACACATACACACCCGGAAGGTGCTGCAGTCAAAGTGGAAGAACGATGTGGAGCAAGAGACCTTCTGGATGGCACGCCGTTTGGAGGAATGGACCTGTCTGCGTATAAGTTGTTGATCTTTCTTCAGCCATGCCCAGAATGGTTTATGCGCGTGATTCGTGGTGATCGTGTGGCGACTATGCATCCGTACTTCTATGTATCTCAAGTTCGAAACATATATAGGGAGATCTAGATCCATGTCCATACACATATGGTTTACTTCTATGTCCAATTATCCCAGAGCGACCCTACCTAGGAGTTGGAGCCCCGAGGAGAGCAAGATTAGTAGTAACGGTAAACGCCTTCCTCCTTTGTCTCCTCAGTTGTAGCAGTAGCGGTAGTAGTAGTAGTAGTAGTAATAGTAGTAATAGTAAGTAGTAGTAGTAGTAGTAGTAGTAGTAGTAGTAGTAGTAGTAGTCGTAGTAGTAGTAGTAGTAGTAGTAGTAGTAGTGTAGTAGTAGTAGTAGTAGTAGTAGTAAGTAGTAGTAGTAGTAGTAGTAGTAGTAGTAGTAGTAGTAGTAGTAGTAGTAGCAGTAGTAGTAGTAGTAATAGTAGTAGTAGCAGCAGCAGTAGTAGTAGTAGTAGTGGTAGTAATAGAACAGCTTAATACCTACACCTACATCTAGACCAACATCCACATCTGCACCTACAGCTACGTCTACATGTACACATGCATGTTATGCAATGATATGCCATGCCATGATATGCTATGCTATGCTATGCTGCGCTGTGTTATGCTATGTTATGATATGATGATATGTTGCGCTATGCTACGCTATGTTATGGTATGCTTTGCTGCGCTAAGCTATGCTGCGCTATGCTATGCTATGCTATGTTATGCTATGCTATGCTATGTTATGCTATGCTAATGCTGCGCTAAGCTGAGCTGGGCTAAGCTAAACTAAGCTAAGCTAGGCTAGGCTAAGCTAAGCTAAGCTAGGCTGGGCTAAGCTAAGCTAAGCTAGGCTAAGCTAAGATGAGATAAGCAACGCTAAGCTAAGGGGACGTAACTGGGGGAACCGCGGGGCGGATCCTGGGGGAACCGCCCGGGGCGAGGCCCACTTTTCGGCCCTTTAAACATAGAGAGTAAGAACCCTTCTAGGCAGAGCCTAGGTAGGGAACTACAAGAACGATTGTTCAAAACTTGTGATCGTGAGAGCGCAGAGATTCGTATTGCAGACGCTGTGGCCGTACAAGTGTCTTGGAAACAGGCCCACTTGTTCAGACTCGTTGGAATACTGAATTGGATTTTGAAGCCAGGGGTACACCTTGTGACGCTGAGTGTCCATGTCGCCGGTCAAGTCCTCGGTTTCGGCGCACCTTCGCTTTCGGCGGAAGGCCAGTGGAAGTAAGACGGTGGCGGGTCCGCTGGCGGAAGTAAGATCGAGGCAACAATAGTAGTTTGTTCAGGGTTCCTGCAGTCGGCCGGATACAAGGCACACGTTGAAGAGAGGAACAGGTTGGGTTCGGATGGAGTTGTTGTTCTTTGTGGCATCACAATGGATTTGGCATCACAATGGATTCCGTTTCTTATGTTGCACTCTTTTTTGTAGCAGTTTGATTGCATTTGTTACGGTGGCCATTCGGGCAGTTGCATTCATTCAGGACGCCTTGCAGACACCGCTCCAGACCCGGCCGTCGACGATCTAGGGGGATCCCAAGATCCATGTCGATCCGATCGATCCGATCCGACATAGATTTCGGCCAGCCCATTCCGACTCGATACCGATATTCCGACAATCCGATGTGGCACGTTGCTTGCATGGCGCTGTGCATCCTGTGACGGCCGATCCGATTCGATTGCGACACCGTGCGATGCGCCCTGATCCGACGCCACTTCCGTGGGCTCCTGGGAGGTCCACCGGAGTGGAGGGAGTAGGCAGACCCCGCCGAGACCTCGCGGCTCCCTGGGGGGTTGTGAAGTGCAACTCTGTCGCCACTTTCGTGGGTACCCGGGAGGTCCATTGGGGTGGAGGGCCACGCAGACCCCGCCGAGACCTCGCGGATCCTTCGAGCACGAAGGGGTTCTCCTGCGCACAGCAGGTCCTTCAACATGTTCGTTCGTATTGAGTGGTCTTGGTTATGTACCTGCCACATGTTCAGAAAGGGTTGGCGGCGTCGCAGGGTAATTTCCCCGCGTCAGCTCCAGGGACGAGGGCCTCTGACTGCACCTCTTGAACGTATCCTGAGTCGATCTCATTATGACATAGTTCTCGTCCTGGATGGGGGTCGCGACATCATGAAAACATCGTCCCCAGAGCTCTCGATCCCTGCCGTCTTCGTTTGCTATACGAGTTTGATGTGTTAGTGGGTACCCTAGTCATTGAGATGGACCCCGAGGCGATCCATAACGCGCCGATGCTGGAAGACAGATGCGCAAACTGCTATTTGGCGTGTTGCCCCGCTTCTTCTCTTCGCCATCTGTTCTAATATGGCACGGAACTGCACCACTATTTTGCACACCTGGTCCTATGTCTGACCGCAGTGCAGAGAGCGGGCTGAATTTGCCACAGGTGCGACACGCTGGCCACCGTTGAGCCGTACATTTTGCGAGCGATGCGTCACGATCTTTTCGAGTCGCAAGGGGTCCGGGACTCCAGATGCCCTTGGGTGCCTCGAGAGGCCCTTGCGGCCTCTGGAGGCCCAGCAGGCATCAGCTAAATACGCTCGATCCTCTTACCTTCCTCCTTCTGCTCCTCCTCTTCTCCTCCTCCTCTTCCTTCTCCTCCTCCTCCTCCTCCGTTTCCTCCTCCTCTTCCTCCTGGTCCTCCTCCTCTTCTTCCTCCTCCTCAGCTTCCTGCTCCTCCTCCTCCCCGTCCTCCTCCTCCTTTTCCTTCCCCTCATCCGCAGCCATTTTGGCTCAAGATGCCTGCACAGTTGAGGCTCCGCGCCGCTATGCCTGATTGGATACCGCTGTCACCGCTTCAGGCAAGGCCTGAGGCCTGGCAGTTTTTGCCCACTCCCTCCCAGTCTCTCGCGTCATGGCCTGTCGCGCTGGTGCTCCCTGGCGCAGCGGCCGCGGCCAGGGCATTTGGGTATGGCAGCCCGACTCTAAGCACCAACAAACCAACACGAAGAAGGAGGCGGCGAAGGACAAGTCTTGCGTGGTTTGCAGCCTTTGTAAGCACTGGGAGTATGTACGTCATGGCCATCGTGTTTGTAGTATGTGCGGTGGTGCTTACGTATCGAATGGTGGTGCTGGTCAATCTCCTGGTTCTGACGGCCTGAATCAAGTTCGTGGGGTTGCCCCTGGTGTTGCTGCAGCGCCTATGCTTCCACACCTCCGTCAAGAGCTCAAGCGATGGTTTGTCCATTATCCCGCCTTTGCTGGAGCTGCGCGTGACGCTGTAGCACCGCATGTGACAGAGGTTCGTGAGTATACTGAGGGGGATCTGGATCGATTGGCCGCACTGGAGCAAACGGAATTCGCCGAACTCGTTGAGAACGCCACCAAGCAGGAACGCCTCGCCGATCAGGAGGTGCAGTGGCGACTCGACCGCTACAACAAGTCGAAGGTTACCCTGGAGGAGATGCAGAAGCACCGCATCGAGGCGGAGCAGAACCTCGAAGTGGTTCGCACGGCGACGCGTGAGGCAGCCTTCAGCGTTGCCGTGTTCTAGCAGACGGAGCGCGCGGATTTGGATCAGCGGCGCCGCCAGCGTGAGCAGACCGCTGCGGCCGCCGCCGCTGAGGCTGCCCTCGTAGCAGCAGGCTGGGCCAGCGCCCCCTGCCTGCGGACGGGTGTTGCGGGCGCCGCCCCCGCCGCCGCAGGGGGGGCCCAGCGGGCGGCGCCGCCGCCGCCGCAGCCGAGCCACCGATGGAGATGGGCCAGCCGTCTGATGGTTCTTTGGTTGCGAGGTCGCTTAGTGGATTCTGCGAATGCCAAGGCCCACCTCCATGAGTTCGGTGACGAGTCGCGGCTCTTTCTCGTCAAGTATGCAAACATCCAGCGCCCCCAATTGCAACGGCATCGTCTCCATCTGCAGCGGATGCGAGGCGCGGCGGCCGATGCCCCCCCCCTCCCCCCCCCCCCGACGTCGGCAGCGAGATTGGCGGTGTTGAGATAGAGCTCCTGGGGCGTCACAAGTTCAGGGGGCTCACGAAACGCGCGGGGGATGCTGGAGTCGATGCAGCTACTGCCCAGGAGTGCACCGACTTGCTGCAGAAGCGCTTGTTGGCCAAATCGGTCAAGCGTGCACGCGCGGCCGAGACAGTCTCTTTCGACATGCACAGCGTCTTCTGCACAGCGTCTGCGCAGCAGATGGAGCAGTTCGGTTCTTAGGGCGTCGGGCATCCAGGTGAAGGTGCAGCGGTTTCTTCTATTGGCCGCCCCGTCACCTCGTAGCAGCAGATTGCGTAGCAGTCTTCTCTCCCCTTCGGATGCCACGCATGTTCATTTGAAACTGATCAATATCACCCACGGCGTAAGCTTGCTCAGGTTTTTACCAGCTCAGGTCGCTGGGATTGATAGCACCTCGAAGGCAGAACCTCGCATGGTTGGGCCTGGCACGTTCCAGGCGAAGAAGATCGGCAAGCATCTGAAGCGGCTGCCGTACTTTAAAGGACGCGCTTGCGCCCCCCAGGAGGGGGCGCTCATGGCGGGTCTGCTGCAGCCGTGCAGCCAAGGTTGCGCTTCCGACAGTTTTGGACAAAACGTGCCTTACACACTGGCGCATGTGGTTGCTTTTAGTTTCGTGGAGTTGCGCTTGAAATCGCGTCCCATTGCGACTGGCGTGGCCCAGCTTATCCTTTGCATTGGGGTGTCTGGGTCCTGGGGGGGGGGGGAATTCGCATCGGCTTCGCGCGGGTGCTGAGTTTGTCCGTGGGTCGTCGACCCCGCGGTTCCTGAAGGAGGTCCCAACATGTCGTTTGATGTCCTGGGCAATGGCGGTCTTTTGGGGCCCCTGTCAGCGCGCGCCCCAGTTCCCAATGCTGTGGAGTTTATTTGTTCGGCGGGCCAAGCGATGATTGATTGCGCGGTGCATTCTCGTCGCCCGTTCCCGCGCCTTCGAGCGTCTGCCGACCTCCGGTTCCCATGTGAGACGCACGCGTGCGCGGGCATCTTCCTGGGTTCAGTAGCCCTGGTTGAGCCCATATGTCAACGTATGAGGCCCTTGGAGGTCCCTGAGGCTTGTGGACTTTATAACCATTGGCTTCGGTATGTGACGGGCGCTGCCCCCTTCTGCCCCGAGGCCCCATTGGCGACGCCTGCAGGCCTCTACCAGGCCACGCCAGCCTACGCTGCAGAATGGATGTCTCGCATTCTTGGGATACAATGCCAGACTTTTGTCTCGTGCAATGGAACTGCTCTCTCTCTCTCTCTCTCTCTCTCTCTCTCTCTCTCTCTCTCTCTCTCTCTCTCTCTCTCTCTCTCTCTCTCTCTCTCTCTCTCTCTCTCTCTCTCTCTCTCTCTCTCTCTCTCTCTCTCTCTCTGTCTCTCTCTCTCTCTCTCTCTCTCTCTCTCTCTCTCTCTCTCTCTCTCTCTCTCTCTCTCTCTCTCTCTCTCTCTCTCTCTCTCTCTCTCTCTCTCTCTCTTCTCTCTCTCTCTCTCTCTCTCTCTCTCTCTCTCCTCTCTCTCTCTCTCTCTCTCTCTCTCTCTCTCTCTCTCTCTCTCTCTCTCTCTCTCTCTCTCCTCTCTCTCTCTCTCTCTCTCTCTCTCCTCTCTCTCTCTCTCTCTCTCTCCTCTCTCTCTCTCTCCTCTCTCTCTCTCTCTCTCTCTCTCTCTCTCTCTCTCTCTCTCTCTCTCTCTCTCTCTCTCTCTCCCCCCCTCTCTCGCGCGCGCTGTTGTTTCGGATCATACGCGCTACCTTGGCAGACAGAGGCGCCGCGTTGAAGCGCGAGGGCTCGTCTCCGATGACTCGCAGCGTGCAGGCGCAGAATTTTCAGAATTCTGACCTGTCCGACTGGTCCTTGGGTTCTAGTTGGCTCTACGTACGAGTTGTGGATGTTTGTTGGTGAGGCTCTTTTTCCCAACCATCCTGTGGTGTAGGGCCCTCGTTTTGAAGAGACGGTGGCCCGCGTCTTCTCTCCTCTCCTTCGCACGTTTCGTGGCCGCATGGGGAGCTCCACCGAAGGTCCCAGCGGGTGTGCCCGCATGCGTCCCGCACGCCCATTTCGGCACACCCCTCGCACGTTTTGTTGCCACATAGGGAGCTCCACAGAAGGTCCCAGCGGGTGTGCCCGCATGCGTCACGCACGCCCATGTCGGCACACCCCTCGCACGCTTCGTGGCCCCATGGGGAGCTCCGCCGAAGGTCCTGGTGGGTGTGCCCGCATGCGTCCCGCGCACCCATTTCGGCCCTCCCCGCGCACGTTTCGGGGCCCCATAGAGAGCTCCACCGAGGGTCCCAGTGGGTGTGCCCGCATGCGTCCCGCACACCCATTTCGGTGCACCCTGCACACGTTTCGTGGCCCCATAGGGAGCTCCACCGAAGGTCCCAGTGGGTGTGCACGCATGCGTCCCGTACACCCATTTCGGCACACCCCTCGCACGTTTCGCGGCCCCATAGGGAGCTCCACCCATAGGGAGCTCCACCGAAGGCCCCAGTGGGTGTGCCCGCATGCGCCCCGCACACCCATTTCGGCACACCCCTCGCACGTTTCGTGGCCCCATAGGGAGCTCCACCGAAGGTCCCAGTGGGTGTTCCCGCATGCGTCCCGCCCACCCATTCCGGCACACCCCTCGCACGCTTCGTGGCCCCATAGGGAGCTCCACCGAAGGTCCCAGTGGGTGTGCCCGCATGCGTCCCGCACGCCCATGTCGGCACACCCTTCGCACGTTTCGTGGCCCCATGGGGAGCTCCGCCGAAGGTTTCAGCGGGTGTGCCCGCATGCGTCCCGCGCACCCATTCCGGCCCACCCCTTGCGCGCTTCGTGGCCCCATAGGAGCTCTGCCGAAGGTCCCAGTTGCACAGTCCGCATGCGCCCCCGCCATTCATTTCGGCCCACCCCTCACACGTTTCGTGGCCCCATAGGGGCTCCAAGGTTCCAGTGGCACAGTCCGCGTGCGTCCCCGCCGCTCATTTCGGCACACCCCTCACACGCTTCGTGGCCCCATAGGAGCTCCGCCGAATGTCCCAGTGGCACAGTCCGCACGCGTCACCGCTATTCATGTCGGCCCACCCCTCACACGCTTCGTGGCCCCATAGGAGCTCCACCGAAGGTCCCAGTGGGTGTGTCAGCACACCCCTTCACACGTTTCGTGGCCCCGTAGGAGTTCCGCCGGAGGCCCCGGTGGCACAGTCCGCATGCGTTCCCGCAATTCATGTCGGCCCACCCCCCGCACGTTTCGTGGCCCCACAGGAGCTCCGCCGAAGTCCCAGTGGCACAGTCCGCATGCGCCCCCGCCATTAATTTCGGCACACCCCTCACACGTTTCGCGGCCCCATAAGAGGCTCCACCGAAGGTCCCCGCGGCGCAGTCCGCATGCGTCCCGCGCACCCATTTCGGCACTCCTCCGCCGAAGGTCCCAGTGGCACAGTCCGCATGCGTCCCCGCCACTCATGTCGGCACACCCCTCACACATTCCGTGGCCCCATGGGAGCTCCGCCGAAGGTCCCAGTGGCACAGTCCGCGTGCGTCCCCGCCATTAATTTCGGCACACCCCTCACACGTTTCGTGGCCCCATAGGGAACTCCACCGAAGGTCCCCGTGGCGCAGTTCGCGTGCGTCTCCCTTACCCAGTACAGCGTTACGTGGCTCCATATGGAGCCCCACCGCAGGTCCCAGCCAGCCAGCTAGCTCTCTTTGCTCCGCGCAGCGGACGACCCGCGCGCGTCGCTGGGGCCCCCCTCCAGGGCGACCTGCGCGCGTCGCGGGGACTCCGTGCTGCGTTCTGCCCAGCGCCTCGCTCGCCCGTAGTCGCTCTGCCCAGCGGCAAGAGCCTTGCCCGCTATCAGCCAGCCAGCTAGCTCTCTTTGCTCCGCGCAGTGGACGACCCGCGCGCGCCGCTGGGACCCCTCCGGGGCAACCTTCGCGCGTCGCGGGGACTCCGCGCTGCGCTGCGCCCGCAGCCTTGGACTTTTGAATGCGCGGGCAAAGAGGGAGTAAAGGAAGGGGAGGAAGCGGGCGCGATCCTCGCGGGGGGGCGCGCCGACATTGGCGTCGCGGCGTGCGGGCGATGCCGTCGGGGAGTCCCGGGGAAGCTCCTTGCGGTGGCCACGCTCAGCGTCACGAGTACTCAGAAGCAGCCATTGTCAAACTATTGACATTCATATACAAACGCACCATGCTTTGCCATACTCGCATTCATGCACGTAGACTTCACAGTCATACGCACACGCGCGCCGATTCACCCGCGCTCAGTCTCCCTGCGTACTCAGATCAATCGTTTTCGTTCGCGTTGTATACCACGCCACGCATGTCGGCACACCCCGAGCACGGTTCGTTGCCTCATAGGGATCGCCACCGGAAAAGTGAATCACTATTGCGGTACTCGCACCTGCATCTGGTTGGGTCCCTCGCCAGGTTACTTTTTGCCCTGATGCTTGGCTCGACCCCAAACTTAGTGCTATTATGTGCGGGGCGCTACCTACTCCTGAACAATCTCGTCCCCGTGCTGAGTGATTTGGCCTTTTCATTGTGGTTCGCATGCGGAAGGACCTATAACTGTATATATGTGTATATATATGTATAAATTGTGCGATTATGGCGACCTACCTCTTGTTAAGGGTATGAGGCAGCCACGAGCTCAGGCGGTTGCTTACAACACGATGATCTATCTGTGGGCTCAAATCTGGAGTGCGCTCGATGACGGGTCGAGTCGAGGTTCTTTGGATTAAAAGTCATTATCCGGCCCAGCAGAGGGCCCAATTAGCTAGTGGGGAATCGGAGTTTTCTTATGAATTCGTGTGCTGACTTCTTTGCAGGTTGGGTTGCTGGCCAGGCGTCCCCAACCGTGGCCGAGGCTGACTTCGCCCAGTATGCTGATCGCCTTACCTCCCACGCGCTCGATCGCCTGATGGCGGTTCAGAGGGTGTTGGTGCAGGAGAGCCCACGACCAGTTGCTGACAGGCTCGGCCGCCCACCGCTTCCGCCCGTTCCCCTCCCGTCGTTTGTTGTTCGGAAGCAGCGGTTTCGGAGCGCTGGCCATGAGCCTTGTCAGCGTCGCTCGCGTTTGCAGTGTCAGGTGTGCCAGCGCCGGTTCACCCTGAAGGGACAGGTCCAGGAATGTTGTCCAGGTCCTTGTCTTGGCCCTCCTCACCTCTCGTTTGACCCCCTTCCGCCACCCCTTGTACCCAGGATGTGCCAGCAATCGTTGCTTGAAGGTCCTACGGATTTTTTTGTACTGTGAGCACTGCGGTGCTCACGCCAGTGTGAATGTTCAGATTCTTCCACTGCCTTGCAAGACTGACCATCCCCCCTCTAGAGCAGGAAAGGAAGCGCTGTCCAGGCTGGCCAGGGGGCTGCCCCCCCCCCCCAAGAGTGGCGGTAAGTTCCCGCAAAGTCTGAGTCTGCATCGTGCCGAGTCGTGGCCTGGTCCCTACGCGCTGTCTCATGTCATCTCCTCATTCATTTCATCCTCTCGGGTAAAGAGGGCCTGGCAGAGGTAGTTTGGAGCGGGTCCGAGGAACACCAGATGCGCCAATTCTACGACTTCCTCGCGAACCACACGGCGTCGGAGGTTCGCGCGATGGAGGATGAGGAGGGGGAGGGGGTGAAGGGATGAGGAAAGGCTGGCGGCTTGCGCGGAGGAGGAGGAAGAGGAGGAGGAGGAGGAGGAGGCGAACAAGAGAGGACGAGAAGAGCACTAGGTGGACAACCAGTCATATATACATATATAGATAAATGTTTGTTTGTGTCTACATATGCATGTATACATGCATGTAAACACATAACCATGTATATAGCGATTACGACATTTGTATATATATATATATATGTGTGTATATATGTGTACACACATTTAAAGAGAGACAGGGGCAGAGGCAGAACGAGAGAGGGTGGCATCGATATACCTATGTATACATATGTGTGTGTATGTCTGTATGTATGTATGTATCTAAAAATCTGTGTATATACATTTATAATACGATGGCCAGTGGGTTTGCCGGGGCCCCAGGTTTCAGTACCCCCCTCTGGCCCCTTCCCTGGGCGGCTCTTGGCCTTCCCGGGTGGGTGCGGTAGGCTTTCAAATTGCTCCTGGGCGGCCCGAGGTCGCCAAAACATCGTTCCAAAACGTCCAAGATGGCCTCCAGACGTCCCAATAGGCCCCAAGACGGCCTAGAGAGCCCCAAGAGGCCCTCCAAAAGGGCCTCAAGATGCAGACATGACCCCCAGCCCTTCGGAAAACGTATATGTTTGAAGGGTCGTCTCTGGAGCTTTCAGAGCATCCAAGACGGCCCGCGAGGCCACCAGGATCACCCCAAGACGACCAAATAGGCTCCCTATCAGGCTCGAAGACGGCCTAAGAGAGCCCCAGGAGGCCCTCCAAGAGGGCCTCAAGATGCAGACATGACCCCCAGCCCTTCGGGAAACGTATATGTTTGAAGTATTCGTCCCTGGTGCTTTCAGAGCATCCAAGGCGGCCCGCGTTGCCACCAGGATCGCCCCAAGACGGCCCAATAGGCTCCCTACAAGGCTCGAAGACGGCCTAAGAGAGCCCCAGGAGGCCCTCCAAGAGGGCCTCAAGATGCAAACATGACCCTCAGCCCTTCGGGAAACGCATATGTTTGAAGTATTCGTCCCTGTTGTTTTCAGAGCATCCAAGACGGCCCGCGAGGCCACCAGGATCGTCCCAAGACGGCTCAATAGGCTGTCTACAAGGCTCGAAGACGGCCTAAGAGAGCCCCAAGAGGCACTCCAAGAGGGCCTCAAGGTGCAACCATGACCCCCAGCCCTTCGGGAAACGTATATGTTTGAAGTATTCGTCCTTGGTGCGTTCAGAGCATCCAAGACGGCCCGCGAGGCCACCAGGATCGCCCCAAGACGGCCCAATAGGCTCCCGACTACAAGGCTCGAAGACGGCCTAAGAGAGCCCAGGAGGCCCTCCAAGAGGGCCTCAAGATGCAAACATGACCCTCAGCCCTTCGGAAACAGTATATGTTTGAAAGATTCGTCTCTGGAGCTTTCAGAGCATCCAAGACGGCCCGCGAGGCCACCAGGATCGCCCCAAGACGACCAAATAGGCTCCCTATCAGGCTCGAAGACGGCCTAAGAGAGCCCCAGGAGGCCCTCCAAGAGGGCCTCACGATGCAGACATGACCCCCAGCCCTTCGGGAAACGTATATGTTTGAAAGGTTCGTCTCTGGAGCTTTCAGAGCATCCAAGACGGCCCGCGAGGCCACCAGGATCGCCCCAAGACGGCCCAATAGGCTGTCTACAAGGCTCGAAGACGGCCTAAGAGAGCTCCAGGAGGCCCTTCAAGGGGGACTCAACATGCAAACATGACCTCCAGCCCTTCGGAAAACGTATATGTTTGAAGGGTCGTCTCTGGAGCTTTCAGAGCATCCAAGACGGCCCGCGTTGCCACCAGGATCGCCCCAAGACGGCCCAATAGGCTCCCTACAAGGCTCGAAGACGGCCTAAGAGAGCCCAGGAGGCCCTCCAAGAGGGCCTCAAGATGCAAACATGACCCCCAGCCCTTCTGGAAACGCATATGTTTGAAGTATTCGTCCTTGTTGTTTTCAGAGCATCCAAGACGGCCCGCGAGGCCACCAGGATCGCCCGAAGACGGCCCAATAGGCTGTCTACAAGGCTCGAAGACGGCCTAAGAGAGCCTCAAGAGGCCCTCCAAGAGGGCCTCAAGGTGCAAACATGACCCTCAGCCCTTCGGAATCGTATATGTTTGAACTATTCGTCTCTGGAGCTTTCAGAGCATCCAAGACGGCCCGCGAGGCCACCAGGATCGCCCCAAGACGACCCAATAGGCTCCCTACAAGGCTCGAAGACGGCCTAAGAGAGCCCCAGGGGGCCTCCCAAGAGGGCCTCACGATGCAAACGTGACCTCCAGCCCTTCGGAAAACGCATATGTTTGAAGAATTCGTCCTTGGTGCCTTCAGAGCATCCAAGACGGCCCGCGAGGCCACTGAGATCGCCCCAAGACGGCCCACTAGGCTTCCTACAAGGCTCCAAGACGGCTTAAGAAAGCCTCAAGAGGCCCTCCACGAGGGCCTCAAGCTGCAAACATGACCCCCAGCCCTTCGGACAACGTATATGTTTGAAGCATTCGTCCATGGCGCTTTCAAAGCATCCTAGACGGCCCGCGAGGCCACCAGGATCGCCCCACGACGGCCCAATAGGCTGTCTACAAGGCTCGAAGACGGCCTAAGGGAGCCCCAGGAGGCACTCCAAGAGGGCCCCAAGATGCAAACACCCCCAGCCCTTCGGAAAACACATATGTTTGAGACGACGAGAGCATCCGAGACGGCCCGCGAGGCCACCAGGATCGTCCCAAGACGGCTCAATAGGCTGTCTACAAGGCTCGAAGACGGCCTAAGAGAGCCCCAAGAGGCCCTTCCAAGAGGGCCTCAAGATGCAGACATGACCCCCAGCCCTGCGGAAAAGGTATATGTTTGAATCGTCTCTGGTGCTTTCAGAGCATCCAAGACGGCCCGCGAGGCCACCAGGATCGCCCCTAGTCTCCCTACAAGGCTCGAAGACGGCCTACGAGAGCCCCAAGAGGCCCTCCAAGAGGGCCTCGCGATGCAAACATGACCACCAGCCCGTCGGAAAACGTATATGTTTGAAGTAGTCGCCCCTGGTTCTTTCAGAGCATCCAAGACGGCCCGCGAGGCCACCAGGATCGCCCCAAGACGGCCAAATAGGCTCCCTACAAGGCTCGAAGGCAGCATAAGAGAGCCCCAAGAGGCCCTTCCAAGGGGGCTTCACGATGCAAACATGGCCCCCAGCCCTTCGGAAAACGTATATGTTTGAACGGTTCGCCTCTGGAGCTTTCAGAGCATCCAAGACGGCCCGCGAGGCCGCCAGGCTCGCCCCAAGACGGCCCAATATGCTGCCTACAAGGCTCGACGACGGCCTAAGAGAGCCCCAAGAGGCCCTCCAAGCGGGCCTCAAGATGCAACCATGACCCCCATCCCTTCGGAAAACGTACCCTTTTGAACGATTCGTTTTTGGAGCTTTCAGAGCATCCAAAATTGCCCGCGAGGCCACCAGGATCTCCCCAAGACGGCCCACTAGGCTCCCAACACGGCCCGAAGACGGCCTAAGAGAGCCCCAAGAGGCCCTCCACGAGGGCCTCAAGATGCAAGCATGACCCCAGCCCTCCGGAAAACGTATATGTTTGAAGTTTTCGTCCTTGGTGCTTTCAGAGCATCCAAGACGGCCCGCGAGGCCACCAGGCTCGCCCCAAGACGGCACAATAGGCTGCCTACAAGGTTCGACGACGGCCTAAGAGAGCCCCAAGAGGCCCCCCGAGAGGGCCTCACGATGCAAACATGACCCCCAGCCCATCGGAAAATGTACACGCTTGAGAGATTAGCCCCTGGAGTGTTCAGGGCATCCAAGACGGCCCGCGAGGCCATCGCGGTCGCGCCAAGACTGCCCAATCGGCCCCCTACACGGCTCGAAGACGGCCTAAGAGAGCCCTAAGGGGCCCTCCACGTGGGCCTCAAGATGCAATCATGGCCCCCAGCCCTTCGGGAAACATATATATTTTGAAGCGTTCGTCCCTGGGGCCTTCAGGGCATCCAAGACGGCCCGCGAGGCCACCAGGCTCGCCCCAAAACGGCCCAATAGGCTGCCTACAAGGCTCGACGACGGCCTAAGAGGGCCCCAAGAGGCCCCCCGAGAGGGCCTCACGATGCAAACATGACCCCCAGCCCATCGGAAAATGTACACGCTTGAGAGATTCGCCCCTGGAGTGTTCAGGGCATCCAAGACGGCCCGCGGGCCCACCAAGATCGCCCCAAGACGGCCCAAAATGCTCCCTACAAGGCTCGACGACGGCCTAAGAGGGCCCCAAGAGGCCCTCCAAGAGGGCCCCAAGATGCAAACATGGCCCCCAGCCCTTCTGAAACCGTACCTGTTTGAAAGGTTCGTCTCTGGAGCTTTCAGAGCATCCAAGACGGCCCGCGAGGCCACCAGGATCGCCCCAGGACGGCCCAATAGGCCCCCTACAAGGCTCGGAGACGGCCTAAGAGAGCCCCAAGAGGCCGTCCAAGAGCGCTTCAAGATGCAAACATGACCCCATCCCTTGGGAACACGTATATGTTTGAAAGGTTCGTCCCTGGAGCTTCCAGGGCATCCAAGGCGGCCCGCGAGGCCGCCAAGATCGCCCCACGACTGCCCAACAGGCTCCCTACAAGGCTCGAGGGCGGCCTAAGAGAGCCCCAAGAGGCCCTCCAAGAGGACCTCAAGATGCAAACATGACCCCCATCCCTTCGGAAAATGTATATGCGTGAAAGATTCGTCTCTGGAGCCTTCAGGGCATCCAAGACGGCCCGCGAGGCCACCAAGATCGCCCCGGGATGTCCCAACAGGCCCCCTACAAGCCTCGAAGACGGCCTAAGATAGCTTCAAGAGGCCCTCAAAGAGGGTCCCAAGATGCAAACATGACCCCCAGCCCTTCGGAAAACGTATATGTTTGAAAGGTTCGTTCTTGAAGCTTTCAAAGCATCCAAGACGGCCCGCGAGGCCACCACGATCGCGCCAAGACTGCCCAAT